AGAGTAGCATTGAAAAAAATCAATGCAGCATCGGCATGCTGCATTTAATTTTAGCAATGCGGCATCGTTTCTGAAGTGAAAAATCGGTATTGCATGGCATTGATGCGCATCGATGCCAATTTGGCATCGCCCGAGCACCGGTGCCCATCGATCTTTGGCGATGCCAGTGACACAGGGCATGGCATGCGCATCGCCGATGCCAATCATTTTTTTTGCGATGCCGCATCGAATTTTTTTTTGTAGGGTTCCCACATACCCATTGGCAGTACTGGAGTCAAACATGTATAAGTAATGTCGATTATTGACGAATCAGCTTTTTTCTAAAAAAAGGGACTAAAATAAAGAAAAAACAATGAGCGTTGAATGGAAATAGCTATCGAGAGTTGCTAAACAAGAAGTGAATGAAGTATATTCTGTAATGTAGAGTAGAAGCCAACTTATTCCCCCTCTCCCCCCCCCCCAATACAATAATTATTGTTAAATTATTTAGTCCGTCAGTAGCAAAAAGCTTATTAACAATGTTTTTAATAAGAATTTTGAACAGAGTATCAACTAAGCATGCACGAATCCGATAGTTCGGTCACCAAACTTGGTCGGACTGATAACTTGATGCGACCGAACGTATTTGGACGAAGACTGCAAATACGATAGTTTATATTTTTCTCAGCGGAGATATCGGCGACAAAGTAAATCAATCTGCTGCAGAGACCACATTAGCAAAAGTATACTTTAGTTAGAGAATAAATAAAATATACTGGAAACTAAAGGTACTTCGAACTTACTGTAATACAACAAATATAAAGTTGCTGCTCTGATTCAAACTTTTCTTTACATGACTATGTATGGCTACAGCTTAATCATGGCTGTTTCTTCGTTTGATATAATCTTCTTATCAGAAAACATTTGGACACATTTCTTACCATTTCTTTACTGAAAACCGTCCTAGTAATGAGTCTATCTCTATTTCTATGCAAGTCAAGTAGGAATCGATGAATCTAGGTCAGACGTGCTCGATTACAATTACAAAATATAAAGTTCAAACATTGCTATTACCTGTAGAATTAAGAATTTTAGAATTCTGAACTTTACATGTATGTAAAGTTCAACTTTACTTGTTCAGAATTCTAAAATTCTTAATTCTAGGGGTGAGTGTGAGGGTGAGCGTGAATATGCAACTTTACATGTATGTAAAGTTCAGAATTCTTAATTCTACAGATAATGGCAATGTATGAACTTTACATTTTGTAATTGTAATCGCGCAGCCCTCATCTAGGTAGAAAAAAAGTGGTTGCTTCCTACTAGCCGTCAAAAATAGCCGTCAATTGACGGCTAGCAGGAATTTTGAGTAGTGAAACTCAAAAACGCTTCTTAAGTGTAGAAAAACTGGTTTGTTTCGTAGTCATTCTGAGTATCAAAAGGCGGTGTTCTTTCTTAGAGAATGCACTAATCTCAGCAGTTTTCTGATGTTTAGGCTCAATTAAACATGTTAATTGTGTGGAAATCTCATAATAAAGTTCCGCAGAAGTGAGAACTTCCGGAACATGATGCAATGAACGAAAATCATTTACGCTCGGTTATACATCAAAATTTTCATTCATTTCTCACTTCTCACTCCTTTCAAAATTGCTGTTCGAACATATCAGCTCCGTTCGAAAGAACTTTTCAACAGTTCCTATGACAGGAGTTGATATGGAACTGTCATACCTCTATAAATCACAGTGTCCTAATCAAAAGGACATGCTTATCTATCCAGAATTAATCTATTCGTCACGGTTTTAACTGAGTGTTTTTTCACTGACTGTGTTTGTTCACAGTCAGTCGAAGAAGATTGAAAACATATTTTCAAGCTCTTTGCCTTCTTGAATGAATATGTATTATCTGTTGTGATTTATTCTAGATGCTACATTTTATGCTGACTCATGCTCGTTTTGTCTTATTTGTTTATTGTTTACATTTATTCGCTTATCTCCTGTTTATGCAAGGTTTATTTCCATCAACAAATAAAATTCAAACGATAGCTAATCAGTCTTGTTGGGGTATTATGTGTCTCGTTGGTCATTGCTAATCTTCCTTTACACTTCATGTTAATTTATATTAGATGACAGTTCAACACCACCCCCACTATTTGAACGTTTAATTTTGGTCGTTATCGATGCATTAAGAGAAGATTATGTATTCAATTCATCCATTTCACATTTAAAATATGTTCATCATTTATTGAAACAGAAACAACATGCCATAGGGTTTAAAATCAAAACACAAACACCCACTGTTACACTACCAAGATTAAAAGTAAGACTGGCATGATCGATCCATAAACAAAACAGAATCTTATTTTTATTTTACTTTTTATTAGGCTCTTATATCAGGTACAATACCTGGTTTTTGGGATATATTATATAATTATAATTCAACGGCGATCGATACCGATAATTTTCTTCTGCAATATCGTCGAAAATATCCTGAGAAGAAAATCGTTTTTTATGGTGATGATACATGGTTAAAATTGTTTCCAAACATGTTTGATCGTCAGGAAGGAACAACATCTTTTTTTGTATCCGATTTTAGAGAGGTATATTTTTGACTTTTAACTCTTACTTTATTACGTTGTAACGGATGCCCCCGTATAAATTGCACGAAATATTAATGTATTTTTCTATCACTTCCTACTTTTAAAAGAATTGCCTTTATATACAAAATAATAGACAATTTAATTCTCTACAAGATTGTATATTTATTTTTAAGCTGCATCTCTGATGTTTGGCACAGTAACTGTAGCAAGAAAAGCTCCATATTTTTTAACCTTCAGAAAAGCGCGTTTTTGCTCAAAATCTCGCTAAAAATCATTTATTCAACGAAACAAGTTATACCGAAAAATTTAGCAAGACATTTTCTACAATATGATGGATTTTTTAATGAGAAATAATGATTTTTTTTAGATGAAATCAGAGAGAATAAGAATCTTTGAAAAAGGTCATTGTCTCCTATTTTTCGGCCATCTTAGCAACATCCAGTATTTCCTAGTTTTTCAAGTAAAAAGCTTGTCAGCATTGCATCTGTGAAGCAAAAATGTCGGAAATCGGACATGTCCTTGGAAGTTTTCACAAAAGTAGCAGATTTATTTGTCAGGTACACAGTCTAATAGAGCGCGAAATTCTACATATTTTTTGTCTATAAACTAATGATTTGAACCTTGGATTTTATACTGGAATAGTTCAAACATTTTTGTTCATACTAGAAACTTCAGTGAACTTGTAAGTTTATGTATTAAAGTCACTAGTAATTGAAATAAATTAACGTCAAGTAAATTCTTTTGGATTCTGGGACATCCGTTAGTTTGTGATACTAACAGACAGATGTTATCCGAAAAAATAATTTAGATTTAAATCTATACAGTTCAGTTTTGATCTATGTTTTTATTATTTCTATTCTAGGTTGATGAAAATGTGACACGTCATTTAGAATTTGAATTTGAAAACAATCGTAACGATTGGTCTATACTTATTTTACATTATTTGGGTTTAGATCATATTGGTCATTTTGCTGGAAGTAAAAATTCTTATATTGATGAAAAATTAATAGAAATGGATCATACTTTATCATATATCTATCAGAAGTTAAAAGAAACAGATTTACTATTGTTAACAGGCGATCATGGTATGGCTGATCAAGGAGGACACGGTGGAGCATCATACGAAGAAAGTCATGTGCCCGCTGTATTCATTAGTCCACAATTTGACAGATATGAAAGTGGGTACAGTTTTTAACTGATATTTCTAGAAGACGCGAACATCCACGAGCACCCCCAAATTAAAACCTGAGTTAGCCAGTCGATAGATCTCGTCAAGTTAAGTGTAGCAAGGCCTAACACACATTCAAAAAATTTTTCGCTTTTTAAGCATACATTTTCAATGCACACCCAAAAAAAGTGTGCCGATTTCATCTCCAGGTTGTTCTGAGCTCATTTTCAATCCGAACAAAATATTCTTAAGTATTTTTGAAAAAATTCACTCTTTCAGGTACAACATAACTACAATTAAACGCTTTTGTTTTGACTTTACAGTAAAGACATCTAGATATATTATATATCATACGAAAGCCTGTGAATTTCTCTACAAAAGTACTATTTAGGAATCATTTAAAAGTTCTTTGTTCAATTTTTAATTACAATTGACCTTCCCCGTTATAGTCTGTTTCAGATCTAAGAAGAATAAAGCGTGTACTGAAGAAAATGAGAATTTGTAAACGATGCTAAAAATACTCTACATAGATTTCTGAATCTATTAATATTCGTTAGAATCATAAAAAACTCCAGATTCAAGAAAAAATAGTACAAATAGTAAATATGACTTCCTTTTTCTTTCTCAACCATTCGAATATATAATAAATCAGTACATATTTCTACCATGCAGTTTTAAATAATAAGAGATGAAGTCTGAACAAAAATCGGGTTGAAAATGGTACCAGTAGGCTCAGAACAACCTGGAGATGAATTTGGCACACTTTTTTGGGTGTTCATTGAAGATGTATGCTTAAAAAGTGAAACTATAAAAACTTTTTTGAATGTTCATTAGGTCTTGTTATACTCAGCTCGACGAGCTCTATCGATTAACTAACTCAGATTATAATTTGAGGGGGTGTTCGTGGATGTTCACGTCTTTTACTAATACCCTCTTCAATGAGTTGTTCTTCATTTCTGATTATTTTAGAATTATTACTACAAGATGAATCCAAAATTTGGTTACAAATCGATTTGACTCCTACTTTATGTTCATTATTTCATCTACCAGTTCCATCAAATAATTTAGGAATTCTAATTAAACCTCTCATCGACATATTCTTCAATCAAAACATGAAAACATGTCTTATTAACGATAACCAACGACAACTAAGTTTAATCATTAATAAATACAGTGGTAAATTTTTAATATTAGAGATAAATGATGACTTATAGTGACATATGTCCGTTTAGATGATGTACAACAAGATAACATTCAAGCATTATCTGCCTATGATTTATTAAAGAAAATTCGCGATAAAGCTATACAGACATCCAGTCAACAAACTATCCAACAATTATTATTAGGAATGGCATTATTTTGGTGTGTAAGCACATTTCATTTATTCTTTTATAACTTATTAACAATTTATTCTCAGAATAAGAGTGAAAATATCTTTAATGAGAGAAAGTTTTTGAAATAGAACTATTTTTAAAATTTTTATTTATTTTAGTACATGATCAGATAATTTAACGTTGTTTTTGTTTACATTTAGAGTACTATTGCTTTAATAATTATTCACTTTATAGAAATTAAAGATTTTTCTATATTAATTCACTCATTATCAATTTATATTGGCTCATGTTTATTTATTTTTTATTTACTATTATTGAGTGACAAGAGTATTAGTTCCATTGTAATTCATTCATCGTCATTTATTGGCCTCTATTTATGTTTTGAATTTATTCGAAATAGTATCATCGTTATTAAAACATTGAGAATAAATAATCGTCAAATGAAAAATACAAATAAAACTCACTCAAAGGTAAACGATTCTTGTACATACGTGTCTTTTAACGAGTGTACTAAAAAGAATGATGTAATTTTCATTTTCATTTTTTCTCCTCTCCCTTTGAATTCATAGAGTTCATCTTATTACCGAAACATTTCCCATTCATTTTTCTACAAAATGGTGTATAGAAGATGATGCTAAGGTTTGAGACGCTGTCTTAATTGAACAAACATTGAAAAGTCCTAAAGGCTTAGAAAAATTAAAATTTTCAAGTTTGAACTCCATTTTGAAAGTGATAGGAAAAAGATAGCACGTCATATTTTAAGACGTTTAGATGTCCTCTTTCATATGGCGCAAGGCTCATTTCCTCCCCGTCGGTGTGATGTGACAAAAAAAAATTAACTAGTTAATAACTAGCAGCGATTTTACTGAACAAAATGCGCTAGTTTCAACATCTTCATTATTCAGAAAATTTACGTCAAACGTTTCGCACGATAGTCGAGTAGAGCAAACATTTGTCTTCAAAATGACGCAAGTATAAGTCAGATTGGTTCAGTCTTGTCTGAGCAGTGTTCATTTTACAAATAGCCCCAAAGTACAGGTTGAAAAACCTGAAAAAACAGTCATAGGGCTTTTGCAAAAAACACGGAAATAACGATAGAAAATCCGCATTACAGCTAATCGGTAGAGAATTTTAAGGACTAAATTTTGGCCTACTTGCTCTACAGTACACACATGTAGAAAAGGGAAAGAGAAAGAACGTCATTTGCGTTTCACAAAATTACGAATCTTTTCTTTTATTCATAATGGTGCAGGTTTTATTCCGCTAGCAAAGAACACTAACAGGCTTAATTGAACAGTATAAACAATGATTAAGTCATACGACGTATTTGTACAAAAAGGGTTAATACACGCTTCTGTCACGATAAAAAGACCTTTATTTAAAAAGGTAAATTGTTAATTTACAATCACTTTTGGAAATGGTACGTCAAATATGTACCATTAAATTGAGAAATAGTAAATGAATAATGTACTGTACTGAAGAAAAGTTCGTTAAAAAGCTATATATATCTTCCAGCTTTATAACAGAAGATTGAACTCCTAATAAACTTCTAATAAAAATTCGCTCGGTCTACTATCCATTTCAAATTAAAAGACCAGTGACTATTTTTCGAATAACTCAAAAATGAAATGAAACGCAGTCATGTGATTTTCACCATTGCAAAGCAGATACCTGAAAATATCTTCCATAAACAGAAACGGTTAGAAAAGAATTTCAAAAATCGATTTTCGAGGTGGTTTTTGAAAAACTCGTTCATAAATTCAAAGTTAAAAGAGAAAAGTATTGATTTCTTTTAAGGGGTAGGTAGTCCAAAGTGTTCTCTACAAAATGGAAACTAAGCGACCTCTCAATCTTTCGTGGCTTAGGCGCGGTATCGCATTTCCTCGAAGTCTAAGGATCAATATTTTCTTGGGTGTAGTAATCTCGAAAATGAATGGAGACATAGATTATCGACCACGCTTAGTCTTGTGACAACGTTTGCTTTTATAAAAAAAAGTCCAGAAATGTAGTGGAAGCCTGTAGTAGGTGAAATATCCCATTTTTGCCTATTTTCATGTAAAATGAGAAAATTCATAACTCAGTCAAAATCGATGCAAACTAATATTTCATCTACTATAGAATTTCACTAGGCTTCTAGACTTTTTTCAAAAAAGCAAACGTTGTCACGAGACTCACGAGGGAACCTTTCTAGGTGATTAAACACTTTTTGCTCGGAATCTAGTGGGTGATAGATTATCGACCATGCTGATTACGAATATGACCATGGAAGTTGTCCTTAACCCTTCGAAGACCTGATATTCTAGAAAACCAGTTTTTCAGAAACTCTAAAATATAACCCGAACTTTTTTTAATGAGACATGACTGTAGCCCACAAATTTCTAGAATTAGACATGAGACATCTTCCAACTTTACACGACCTTTCTCTACAAAGTTATAGAATTTACAACAAAAGCCCTAAATAATCATTGTCAGCTCAAAGCTACAGAAATAAGAAGAAATTGATTTAGTGCTTTTCTTGTAAATTGTATAACTTTGCAAATAAAGGTCGTGTAAAGTTGGAAGATGTCTCATTCTAATCAGAAATTTGTGGGCTACAATCATGTCTCATTAAAAAAAGTTCGGGTTATATTTTAGAGTTTCTGAAAAACTGGTTTTCTAGAATATCAGGTCTTCGAAGGGCTAAGAGCAACTCCCATGGTCATATTCGTAATCAGCATGGTCGATAACCTGTAACCCACTAGATTCCAAGCAAAAAGCGTTTAATCATCTCGAAAGGTTCCCTTGTCAGCGTTGTCGATATTCTGTCTCCATTTATTTTCGAGATTACTACACCTAAGAAAATATCGATCCTTAGACTGAAGAACATTAAGAAGTACACTGAATGATGTACATCATCACCGGCACCGGTCGGAAAACTTTGTTGGACAAACAGAAAACGTTTGGGTCGTCTAAGATCTTTGATTATTGTTTAATTTCATGGAAAACAATTCAAAAGTAGTCGATGAATCTTACTTAAGTCACTGCTAAGAGAATAAAAGTTTCTTTTTTTTTGTTTTTTGCAGAATAAGGAATATCGTCATGTTTTTATTTACTCTTTAGCTTAGAATGCTGTCTAGCTATTGGTTGTTCTATTATCCATCGTTACATCTATTATCATTATTATCAAGTAGTTTTATTGAAGAAGAACATCAACTTTGGTATTTATTCATTCAAACATTCTTGATACTTGCATTACGAGATATTTGTGTACAATTATCTTCCAATAAGCGTAACATTATTTTAATGCTGATTACAATAACATTTATATTTCGTTTACTTCGTTCATGGAATCAAACGGGAAATAAATGGTTGACACAACCGGACATAGGAGATTATTTAAATAGGTTCGTTTTTATACAAATATTTAATAGTCTTTGACACTACATTTATTTGTTCTTTTTTAGCAGTGATAATCGGCAACTACTATTCATTGTTCATTTCTTCTCATTACTATTATTTGTATTGATGCAAACGTACATGTGTAAACAACGATTATTATCCTTGATAATTTCAAGTTTATTATCTTCAATTATTCTGTTTTATAGATGGACACCTTTGTAAGTAATTCTTTTCTGTCTATTAAGGCTCTCTGTTAAAAAAGGCAATTTTTGTCAAAAAGATCGAATTTGAGATTTATACACGATTGTATAGTTCAAAGAGTCTCTACTTTCGAATGCACTATGATTTATTGGTTTTACGATGGTTTCTGAGGGTTTTACAGAGATTTTCCTGAAACACTCAAAATGAGAACTTTTTAAAAACTTCAGTTATTGAAAAATATGCCGCACATGTCTCTGCATACGTTCATTTGATTTGCTTACGAACTACTCTTCGTTTTTTCCCATATGAAGAAATAAAACTTGTTTTTCGTTTTTCTCGGAATGCGTTGTTTTCTTTTTTACGTGTTCGTGCGTCCAGATTTCTCCGCCGTTTCAAAAAAGCTCGAGAACGTTTGGAAGTGAAGCGCAGATTCAGCACTACAACTTAACAGAGCCGGATTTTCTATTTTTTCCCTTTAACTTTTGCGAAAAATAAAGTTTTTCAAAAATTTAGCCCTATTTTTTTCAACTTTTTTTTAAAAAAAATTTCGGAAAAACAAGTTTTCAAAAATTCAAGTTGTAGCGCTGAGTCTTGGCTACATTTTGACACCACCCCGAAGTCTGTATCATTAGAATTGCGGAAGAAATCTGAGACGCATGGATACCTACTTTTTCACTCTTAGTATTAAAAGAACTCTTGAAAAACTTAATATTTCGAGCTCAAATTTTCATTGTCAACTATCTACGATCAGATACGCATTCTGTGAAAGTTTCATCAAGATCCGATTTTCTGGGATAAAAATAGGTTTTTGACAGAGAGGGGTTAAATTAACGTCATTTTGTTTCTACTATTACGAGAAACTGTTCTGACTTTTATTACCGCTATTTAGATCAACTGGTGAATGGACAGCCGATATTTTTTATTTAATCGTATTTATTTATTTTTTCTATCAGTTATTGTTTGAAAGATTATCTACTACAGCTGATATATTTCAAATAATTCAACAAATGATAGTTTTTCTTCTGTTATTGATAACTCGTTCACATAATTCATTTGTGATAGTAATACATTATCTTTTAACAAAATTAATATGTTCAATTAATAATCAGTGTTTGTTTTCCACATTGGATTATGGACGTTTAACAACAATTTTAATACATTGTGCTTTCTTTCATATGGTAAGTGAGAATATTTTCTGCAGTAAATATAGTTTACGATAAAGTCTTTTACAAACTGAGTCTTATTTGTAAGGAGGTCATACTTTATTTAAAAATTTTGATGTTTTAGACTTTATTCAACCAGAATGTTTTTTATTTCAGGGCAATTCGAATAGTTTGATGACAATCGAATTATCAAGTGGTTTTGTTGGTTTAACCACTTATCATCCAGTTTTACACGGTATATTAATATTTCTGTCAACATACGGTTTGCATTTGATATGGTTATTTAACATGTTCCAAGAGACAAATGTCAATCTAGTCGAATTTGTTCTTCAGAACGCAGTGACTAATTGTGTATTTGTTTCGTCTATATTTCTTCAACGTTATCATTTGTTCATATGGACAGTGTTTGCACCTAAATTATTTTATGCAGCAACGTACACTGCCACTAATCTCATTTGTGTATTGTTATACATAATTTTACGAACTGTTTATAAAGAATAGTTGATTCTTCTTTTTTACGAATAAACTGATATTTTTATCCTAATTTCGTGATTGTTGAAGAGCTACAATGAATGTATTTTAGTTAATTTGCTTGATCTTTGCTGTAGAAGATCTGCATGAATGTTATTTTTTTCATTAGTTCAGTTTAATCAATCATTAAGCCATCTTTGATGTGTCTCTTGCTGATGTCACCGCTATGGCTGTGTGGTTAAGTTGTTTGGCACGTACGCCCAAGGTACTCTGCTCAATCCTTAGCGCCAACAGACATGGAACGATACTGGACCAGTCATTAACGGTTGTTTGCCTCGGATCATCCGTCCGATAGCATGCTGACTACGTTGTGACATACACCAGTCCTCGTGGCTAGCATGTCGTTAGTCAGTTTGCACGAGGCCCTCAAGCGATTGAGCAAAAGAAGAGTCAGATTGGCCTTCTGTCTAGAGCTACAGCTAGTATTAGTTGTAGCGAAGGTATCGAACTTACGAAACTGTCTCCAGACAGCACCCTATACGACAAGGTAGCCGAAAGGCGGGATATGCTTCCTTCTTTCCGCTTGCTGATAAATGAAGTGCTCTCGGTTTTCAAAATTTGTAGACAACTCGATTTTTCAGGGGATCTCTGGAAAGCAGAGCCGTAACTCTGAAATTTATAGCTCCGTTTTCCAGAAGTGCTTTTAGCATAACGCTTCGCTGTTACTGCCATAAACCTATCTTGCAAATGCATCACGATGTTTTGGTAAGTCATCGAGTGTGGATCGTTTCGTGAAAACTGAAGGTTCTCCATTTTCAAAACTTTTTTTCTTTTCCACTTTTGTTCGAACACGTCAGAAGTAGAGATGAGCGGTAACGGTAAAAACTTGGGACCATTACCGACGCTCCGGTAACAATGTCAGATTTTTACCACCGTAAACTTTGGTAATACATTGTTTTACCGTTACCAACGATAAAATACCGAAGTTTCTGTGATTAGTGTTTTTATTCATAGAATGAAACAAGTTAATATCAATGAAAAATATGAATAAAATCTTTCCATTTACAGCTACTTGACTTTGCAGTTTGTCTTTGAGAAAAAAATGTTGGTGTGTAACGAGAAAAGTTGAAATTCATAGAATTTGAAACATTTTTCGATATTTTCTCCCTTTCGGTCCTGTTTGATAAAGGAAAAAAATCTTCTTTATAATCATTGTGCGTGCACGCTTTTGTAAAATGCCTTAATGTATTTTCTACTATAAGTTATTCTTTGCTAGTCAAAAAGAACGTCAAAAAGTCAAAATGGAAGTTTCGTGAAAATTTGTTTACCGGTACCGCTCATCTTTACGAGAAACACTATTCTACTGTAACACTCCTTTTTCAATCGTTCATACGTCGATCGATAAAGGGTAGTGGGATAGTAAAAAGCCTAAAACAGTTCGTGCTAATGACTCTGGAAGATCCGGTTTTCTGGAAAACCAGTTTTTCAGAAACTCTGAAAATAATCAAAACCTTCTGTTAGTGAGACATGATTATAGCCCGCAAATTTCTGATTAAAATGAGACCTCTCCCAAATCGACATGACCTTTCTTTGCAAAGTTATACAATTTACAACAAAAGCCCTAAATGTTCATTCTCAGCTCAAAGCTACAGAAATCAGAAGAAATTAATTTAGGGCTTTTGTTGTAAATTCTATAACTTTGCAAAGAAAGGTCGTGTAGAGCTGGAAAATGTCTCATTGTAGTCAGAAATTTGCGGGCTATAATCATGTCTAACTAACAAAAGGTTTGGATTAATTTTTAGAGTTTCTGAAAAACTGATTTTCCAGAAAATCGGGTCTTCAAGAGTCATGTGGATAAATTCTTTTAGGCTTTTTACTAGCTCGATACTCTCTATCGATCGACGTATGAGTGATTGAAAAAAGAGTGTTACAGTATTGTGTTCCTTGTTAGTCAGGAGTAAAAAGAAAGAAATTACATAAAATAAAACGTTTCTTGAATCGAAAGAGCTGCTAGTGTGTAGAAACACACTGTATGTCTCATAGGAAACGAAAACGGAAAACAGCGATTTGTGGTCAACAATCAGTGTGAATACTGAAAGAAAGGAGACGGATAAGATCATTTTCCATTATCAAATATTTTTGAAAAAGAAATTTTTTCTTAGATTTTCATCCAAGATACGTCACTATCCCTGGTTGAACAATACGGTACGTGTACGGCCGTAAACGGTCATATACGAACCGTTTACGTGCCGTATTTTACCGTAAACCAGGTCGGTGTTATACGATCGTGTTTAATGAGAATGCGGCATACATACGACTGTATATGCCACAAATTCAGCATTGTATACGGTGCCCAGGATTACGCATGAAATAAGGCCCGTTTTCGTACTGTATCTCAAAGAGAAGAATGAAGAAAGAACATATAAGTACAAAGAAATGTGTGTCACAAGATTTCAACGTATATTTTTTTTCTTCATTTGTTTTGGTTTATACATGACATCGGTTGGAATTGTATATTTTCGTCCACTAATCAAAGCGCTTTCTTCATGCAGTAAACAATGTTCAAAGGCTAAGACCATCCCCTGTTTTGGTATATATGACATATCAGCCTTAGGATTCGGTCCACCTGGATCGATAAATGTTGTTGCTCCACCCTGAAATCCTTCATTTAAACAGACTTGAATTGTTAGAAAACTTCTTTCGTGTGATCTATTCTTACGTCGATAAGCACTGTCGACATGTGCTTCAAATCTTTGTCCCACATCGTATCGAAGAAATCTCAAACATTCATTTAAACTAAGGATTTGATAATTATTATTCCATTCTTTAGGGATATAGGATCTGACACGTTGCCATATAATACTCATTATTTCGACACTATCGATAATACAATGATCATTGTTTCGATAATGTGGCACAAGGCGTTTAACTCCTCTGCCAAAGTGAGTCAAAGCTGGAATGTAACCTTTTGCTTCTGTTAAATCGATGTATGCTTGACATTCTTCTTTTGTAAATACATTTAAAAGAACAAACGCTAGTCTGCCGTTATCACAATCTCCAGGTAATTTGATATTTTGTTTAATTATACCATCTTTCTCTTCTGTCATAGAATTGTCGTGTGTGGCAACAGATAACGATAAATTGAGTCCCATACTCTAGTTTGATTGAAACTAAAATAAACAAATTAATTACTGTTCAAGAAAGCATAATCATGTAAAACTAAAAATACAAACCTTTTCTAGATCAAATTAAGCTAAGGTAAGTAATTAAGGTAAATTTTTTACAATATTCTTTCAGCCGCTCTACCGATAGATAACGGCACACATCGTTCATTTTTCAAGAAAGACTGAGATTAATCTTGCTGTATGATCTGATGATGATCAGAAAACATGAAAAAACATAGAAAAAAAATAAACAAACGAAAGAAACGTTTTTATACGTACGATCGATTCAATTACACGTTTATTGTATCACAAATCTATAGAACGATCCGTGCACTTTTTTGTTTAAACTGTCGCATTTGAAAGTATATGGTTAAACTCTTTTGAATATATCCTGACAATGATGTGCACCCACTACACAATATGATCCGCGTTGATATATTTTGATTTCGATCATAGCTACGCGATGAAGCAAAATATAATTACTAATATGATTAAGAGAATAACAATATGTACACATAATAATATGCGACGATTGCAAAGTGGACTGTGAAACAAACTGAACGATACACCACACAAGCGCATTGATCATCTTTCAAATGTGATAGACTCAGAACACTGTTTGAAGAACTCATTGACAACATAAAGACAATGATGCTGTCGATCGAACTTAGATAGAATATAAGTTTAACGAAGCACCAGAATTATAGAATGACTGGCTTACTAAAAGACAGTTTGCATGAATTAAATCTCCAAGAGAAAATAATTCAAAATTTTCAAAAGCCATGTATGAATTAAAAGAGTATTGTTCTAGTCGAGCCAAAAGATAAACTTAGCATTTCTAGAAAGTTTTATGTCTTGTTAGTTCTTCATTCAATTGGTTCACATAAACCGTACATTAACACCGAATATATAGAAAATACTCACGAGGAAATCTATCCAAGCGATACCTTCCGATTTGATTCGTTCATACGTCGATCGATAGAGGGTATCGAGCTAGTAGAGTCTAAAAGAATTTATCCACATGACTCTTGAAGACTCGATTTTCTGTAAAACCAGTTTTTCAGAAATTCGAAAAATTAATCCAAACCTTTTGTTAGTTAGACATGATTATAGCCCGCAAATTTCTGACTACAATGAGACATTTCCCAGCTCTACATGACCTTTATTTGCAAAGTTATAGAATTTACAACAAAAGCCCTAAATTAATTTCTTCTGATTTCCGTAGCTTTGAGCTGAGAATGAACATTTAGGACTTTTGTTGTAAATTGTATAACTTTGCAAAGAAAGGTCATGTAGAGCTGGGAAATGTCTCATTGTAGTCAGAAATTTGCGGGCTATAATCATGTCTCACCAACAGAAGGTTTTGATTATTGTCAAGACATGACAATTATGGCTCATTAAGAAAGATTTTGATTATTTTTAGAGTTTCCGAGAAACTGGTTTTGCAGAAAATTGAGTCTTCAAGAGTCATGGGGAAAAATCCTTTTAACCTTTTTACTAGCTTGATACCCTCTATCGATTGATGTATGAACGAACGAAATCGGAAAGTATCAGCTGGATAGGTTTCCTCGTCAGCGGCAGAAATCTTTTGTTATATTATCTATGAGAAAATTCTCGCTTGCATCTTTAGAACATGCGTAACTTCAATTATTTGAATAAGATATACTTCTGCACATATATCAGCAGCGAAATAGTGTTTAATTTTGCCAGCCATTTTGATCAACGTTCGTTTGAGAGAAAAACAATAGTCGCATATGGTCAACTAACGGTCAGGGTGGCATACAATGTGCAGTGTCATCAAGGGGGAGGGAAACGCAGATCCGGGATCCACGCTGATACAATCATTTCTAAAAGTATAAAAATGGGATCATGTCGTGAAACAAAGGAAAGCAGGACTCACAGAAGTGAATTTAGAAAAAGCTAGTCAGCGTTGCTTCTACGAAACAAAAATGTGAAAATTACCTGCTGAACTGTTGGACTATAACACAGAACATGTAATAATATATTGTAATAATTAAAACTTGTGTCTAAAAACATTAGATGTACTGTCTGTTACAAGTCCATTCAGTAGCTGTAAACATCAAATTTATATTGAAATTTCATCAATCACAATTTCACCCCAAAAGTTTACAGTTACTGAAATGTGTGTGTTACACAGTGGGCATTTTTTGCTAGAGCAGGCGGACTTTAGCTTTACGAGTGAAGTAAACTTTCATGAACCATTTTTTTATAGGTTTTTCATGATCCTCTTTCTAAT